CTCAGCCCAATTTATCGTCGGGCTGAAGATGAACTCAGTGCTAGATTCCAGGGCAGGTTGAGAGCATGGAGGATGCGAAAACAATGTGCCAATTGTTAGAGGTTAGTGTTTAGAGTGATGAGGTTTGCTCCAATGGCCTCTGCTATCCTCCTCTTTGTTCCTCAATGCTCTCTGCTAGCTAGCTTCCGAAAACCATCCATTCAGGACCGTGAGTACGACTTCGTCGAGATGTCCGGAGGCACTTACGAAAAGCTCGTCTTCGCCCACGTCCGGGATTTTACCAAGGCCAGAGAAGCCTATTTTCTCGAGTTTACCGATCAGGTTAGTTTTAAAGGGAGTGTGACACTAAGCTTTAATAGCAAAAATTCACTTTGTCATTCCAGCTTCGCCCGGTCTTCCAGAAAACGCGGATGGTGGTGACCGGCGGGTTCAGGACGGCCAAGGTATATTCTTGTTTCTCGCTCTTTCTCACTCTCTCTTTCTCGTTCTCTCTCTCACTCTATCTTTCTCTCACTCTCTCTCTCTCTCGCCCTCAGTTCTCTCGTTTAGTGGATGGCCGCCGTGATCAAAGATGGAAAATGTGACGCTGTCGGACTTGGCCGCCCCGTTGCTGCTGAACCAGGTACGGCCGATGTTGATCTACATGTTTAGTAGAGAGAGAGACGACGGAGACGCAGATTGTTTAATTGATTATTGTAGATCTGCCCAAAAAGATCCTTCGCTACGGTGTGCTCGGCTCAACCGCCGCCAAGATTGACCAGAACGACTTCGCGATGACGAACGTTGGTAAGGAAAGTTTAGAATTGAAATATTTTCCATTTCCGCATTAATAGGCTTCAAAATCAGTCTATTAATGCGTCCATCAAAAATAGAAGCAGAAGTCAAATTGATTCAATTTAGTCGCGAATTCCCAGATGTGGCAGGGAGGGCAGATCCCGTTCTCAAGATGTGAAAAGGCCACGGACGGAATTATGGATTTGTCAGTGCAAGCAGAAGCTGATAAATATGTCGCAGCAGCAGGGGTAAGTTCAAGCTTGGGCTTAGGCTCAGCTTAGGCTTGGACTTAAGCCTATACTTAGACGTAGGCTTGGCTTAGTCTTCGTCTTGAGCTAGGCTTAGGCTGAAGCTTAGGTTTACGATTACGCTTAGGGTTAGGCTGCCCCTAAGCTTAGGCTTAGAGTTGACTTGGGTTCAGGCTTGGCTTAACTTAGGCTTGGCTTATTCTTAGATTTAAGTTCAGGCTTGGCTTGGCTTGGGCTTGTGCTTGGGCTGAGGTTGAAGCTTAGGAATATTTACAATTTTCAGGCCTACGTTCAGGGCGTCTTCGCTTTTGGCGTACAGGAGGTGTTCCCGTTTTTTCCAGTACAAACCTGAGTCTGTATAGTGAGTAATTTATTAATAAAGCGTTTTGCCTACATTGTTATCTTTGATCGCGACACCAGAGCCTGGCGAGCTAGCACAGATTCTTTGCGATTTTTCAAGCCGGGTTGTGGGGCAAGCCAGCGGGGACCGTGAGAATTTTGGTAGTTTTTATTTGCAGTCGATCAAAAGATCGTTCTGACCCACTGAAAGCTCAAGTTCCGCAAGCCTTTCACGAGAGAGAGAGAGAGAGAGAGAGCGAGAGAGAGAGCGAATATTTGTTGTCAGGTGTAGTTGTGACTCATCGACCAACCGGGTGGCGCCATCCCCAAAGGAGCTAGAGAGCACCTAAAAGAGGAGAGACAAGAGCAAAAGAGAGGGAGAGAAGGAGAAAGAGGAGAGCGCGTGGAGCCTCGGCCAGCGACTCATGCAATGACGTGAAACTGCCGGAACGCTATTGGCCTGAAGAGGTCGGGATGGAAGTGAAAATAGCTTCTAGGACCTCTGGGAATTCGCGTTGGTCTTTGGTTTTAGGGCGAAATTGTAAATCGAGTTTAAAATACAGATTTTTTAGGAAACAGTTTTTTAAAGGAACCCAAACGTGAAGAATTTTTGAAAAAATAAAGATAGAGGTTCGTTTGTCTGTTTCATATCTCTCCTAATTCCTAAGTGCTCTTTGCTAGCCTACTTGTCCAAATCTCAAAACGGGCAAAATTTGACTTTGACTTTCCACAAATTTAGATGTGACGATTGTTGCTTATCTTGTCTTTTATATAAGGATTTAATCAAAAATACAGATTCCCAATTTTTTCTGCTATCCCTCCCCCTCTAGACGACCCTTTAAAGTCTAAATTCCGTCGGTCGACTGGCCAAATATTGCCGTTTTTCGAGTTTTCTCGTCTCTTGCTTCCGCTTCTCTCTCTCTCTCTCTCTCTCTCTCTCTCTCTCTCTCGCCTACCTCCCTTCTCTCTCCTCACAAACAATGCTCTCTCGCCCCTCATCGGGTCGATGTGCCCCGGCCTTCCCCGCTTTCCCTCCCTTCCACTGCTGCCCACGGCTTCATCCCAATACACGCGTCGCGCACGTAGGCGGCTGGTCATTATTTTAAAAGTTTTTAACTTTTAAGAATTAAATTAAAATCTTTTACGATTTTGCGGATTTTTTAATGTACTGTAATTTTGGTTTTCTTGTCTTTTTAGTCTTTTTTAGCATTTCAAACCGCTAACGACACGTGTGAGGCATAAATCCATAACTTTGCATGCGTTCCGATGCCTTTAATTATTTTTTTGGGTACCAATTGACGCCAAAAATTGAGAAAAATGGTTCGGTAATATTTTTAATGGCTCTATAAACTTTCGAAGCTTATTGTTTTTGCTTTATGCTTTTTGCTTTGTCCAGTTTAAATCGATATTTTAGTTTTTAGGCGTTTAAAGTCACTCAAAAGAAAGAAATCCATGATTTGCATTGTCTTTTCGGTCCCTTAAATAAATTTGCCCATACCATTCTGAGCTAAAAACCAGCAAAAACTCCTGCGAATCACCTTTTATTGGTTTTTTAATGAAAACTAGTTTCGCATAGCTTTTAGGCATTTAATGGCGCCCGCAAGACAGAATCCATCACTTCTCTTGCCTTGCTGGTCCCTTTAAAATTTAATGGATAGCCACTTTGCCCCGAAAAACTGAGAAAAACACCTGAGAACCACCTTTTTCGAGCATTCCTTTGCCGCCGGGTGGCCTTGGCACGCCGCAAGGAGTATCCAAGCGGAATGGAATGAGATCCGTCCTGAAACGGGGCATACTGTATCCACCTGAGGGGTCCCGCCGCGAACAGGAATGAAAGGGAGGAGATTGGCCTTGAGGTGTCTGCGCCGGGAGATTGAGCTGGAGCCGCAGGGGTCCTTGAGGATGGGTTAAGCGTTAAGGCGAAATAAGGTAGAAACGAAGCCGAAAAAAAGCTGGACTAGTTTAAGAAACTCGAGCTTAAGCCAAACTTAAGCAGGTTAAGCCCAGTCAAGCAAGCCTACGCATAAGCCGCTAACGCTAACGAAGCACATCGCAAGATCAAGATCGAGTTAGGTTTTCTCTCCCATTCTATCTCTCTCTCGCTTCCTCTCTCTCACTCACTCTCTCTCTCTCTCTCTCTCTCTCTCTCTCTCGATGTTAGCCTCTCATTGCATCATTCATATATCCCGATCTTTGCCCTGAACAACAGCTGGCTCCCTGCCAACGTGTCTGTCCAGTTGAGTGAAAAGGCGGGGGCTGGAGTAGCCAGAGGCGAGCCGTCAGGAATTTCTTTTCCCCTTTCCCGCACCTTGCAAATAAGTGGGGGAAGATAAGCATTTCGCAACCTATCTCGCCCCAACAAACTCTCCACCGCTTGCTCCCGCTCAAGTGTAAACCTATAAGGCCGATTTTCGGGGGCCATTGCTTGACCTGAATCGGCCAAAAAATCGCAACCTAGTCGGCTCTTTTTAGAGAAATTCCATTGAATCGGCTACTTTCGATAGTCATAAAAGTAGCTATCGTAACTATCGAAAGTAGCCGATTTTGTGCTGTTTTGAAGTTTAAATCGTTCATAACTTTCGAGAAATGGCTATTCCGCAAAAACGGTTACCATATTCGGAATCAGCGTAAAATTCTGCACAAGATAGGCTTGGCCCGGTTACTAAGTCCCGACGACACTCAAAAACGTCTCCTTGTAAGCTAGCTAGCTACTAATAAATATATTATTTACATACCGACCAACTACCAATAATATAAAGGTACCCACAACACAAGTTTCCAAAGCTACTCTCATTGTGTCACGCATTAATAGTCGCTCAGACTTTAAAAAGCCTTTTTTTACGATCTACCGTAACCGAACCTCCCCTTCGAGAAGTCATGTGGAAACTCCGAGGCGATACTATTTGCGTCAGGCCCGTCTCCAATTTTGGAGCGCAATTTGGGGGGCGCCAAATAGCACGCAGCGGCCCGACCGCTGCGATAATTGTTTGACGTAGATGGGGCGGTTAATTTTAGACGAAATAATAGGATGTGCAGAGCTCAGGAATACAGCTGAAGGGTACCGTATCCATATTAAGAACGGTATAACTTTCGTTGAAGCTGTTATTAGTGCAAACCTGCATTCTTGGGCTTTGATGAGCACCTTACATACAGGGTGTCCCAAACAAAACCCCCCTCGGCATTTTACCAGTGATGGGGACCCATAAAAATTATGTGCAGCCGAATTTTCTAAGCAAAATATTGTAAAACAAAGAATATATATAAAAATTAAGGTTTATTTTGCCGATTTCACTAGGATTTTGACGGATTTCGGCCTCGAAATGTTTAGCAAAAATGAAGAGGGCACTCTTTTCTACCTGTAGAAATTTTGATTTACGAAAATAACGTTTAAATTGGGCCTTTTGATCACTTTTTATTATCGAAATTGCCAAAAACTGACCGAGAAATGACCATTGTTTGGAAAATTGCTCAAAATCCGCATGCTAATTGCGAAAACATAGCCAAAAACGAGTACCAACGTTTTCCAAAAATCAGTTTTTTAGCGATAACTTTTTGGCTTTACAATATTTTGCTTAGAAAGTTTGGCTGCACATAGTTTTTATGGGTCCCCATCACTGGTGAAAATTTGGCCCCGATCCGATAGAAGACGGCCAAATGCCGAGGGCGGGTTTTTTTGGGACACCCTGTAGATACCGTATCACATTGCTAATAGCTTCCATTAGCCTGAATTTTGACGGTACCATCCCTTTAAATTTCGCATTCAGCTAAGCCGTTATAATCCGGTGCCAATTGATGACCTCCATTCAAAGATTGGCGCTTTTTACTGGCAGGTCATTTTTTGGATTGCTCCGTCTCTCTCCCTCTCTTTCTCTCTCTCACCCTCTCTCTCCCACCCGATCTGTGTATGTATTCAGGTGTTCCTAGCAACCCGGTGCCCACCAAGGGGCCGGGGGCCCTTCCATTCCTCGGCAATTTTCAGGCAACCCCTTTCCGGAATTCATTGTGTTGTTTGGTGCAAAGAGTGGCCGGCCGGAATTTTGATGAAAAGCCTGCAAAATTGGAGAGTTTTGAGGTCAGATTCGGATTTTATGTTTCTAAAGCGAGAGAGAAAAGGAAAAGGCGAGGGAGAGCGAGCGAAAGAGAGCGAGAGATATAGAAAGGGTGAGAGAGTGTAAGAGAGTAGCGAATACCAATTTGGCAGTTTCTCTTGATCTCTGGAAAAGTTTATCTCCCTCCCTAACTATCACTCTCTCTCTCGCTCTCTCTCTCTCTCTCTCTCTCTCTCTCTCCCTCTCTCTCTCTCTCCAAACCCAATTTTCCTCGTCCACCCAAACAACCAACCCGTTCGTTCACCCCTTTGGTGACTCAGTGGTGTCCATTCGGGTTCCATTAAAGGCGGCCACTGGGCCTTCTCTTGGGCCCTAAGGCCATTGATCCTGGGCCCCTAGAGGGCCCATCCCATCCCCGACACCAGGGCCACCCCCACATAGCACGCACTACCCCATTGGGCTTCACTTTTTTTGAGAGGTTATGGGATTTGGAAGGCAAAAAGATTGTCATGGCTTCCTCAAGGTTTCCTCAAAAACCTCTGCTAGCATGCCCTCGCTTCTTCAAAGATCTCTGCTAGCATGTCTTATCTGCCCCTGAATTCGGATACGTATTATTGGTTGAAACCCGTGATATTGGGTTCTGAAGTGGCCCTTATCTCTAGGTACTTTTTCCCCTTTGTCCGTCTGTCTGTCTATTTCTCTCTTTCTCTCTCTCTCTCTCTCTCTCTCTCTCTTTCTCTAGCTCTCTCTCTCGCTCTCTCTCCATCGCTTTCACAAGCCATTCTCATTTTTGGCGCTCCCGCAAATCATTTCCTGACCTCACCAAGCTCATTGCCCATCAGATTTTTTTGCAAATTATTAGTTGGCTTCCCAAAGAATCTCTGCTAGTTTGCCTCCACTCTGGCCTGGCCGATTTCAAGGAGTCGCCTGCACTCTCGCTCGCATACAGCGCCTCAATGCCGTCATATTTGTCGAGACTCTCACAGGATAATTTGCATTCGAGAAGCGAGAGAGAGAGAGAGAGAGAGAGAGAGAGAGAGAGAAAGAGACAGTAAAAAGGCGATGTCCCACGATCCGAGCGATCATCGATTTGCCCCCTTCTGCCGGTTCGCTTCAATTCCCGGCAAAACATCCGACCCGGTCACTATGAGCACCCGGCCGAATAACAGATGATCTCTGCTAGCCTGCCCGAAGCGTTTGAAACAGTTTTTGGCTTCCGAGTCCCGTTAAAAGGAACTGCCCCGTCAAAAGGACAGTCACGTAGTCGGAAAGGCGCTTAATAGAGCCACACGTCATTTAAGCTTTTGTCTGTCTGTCTGTCTGTCTCTCTCGCTCTCTCTCTCTCTCTCTCTCTCTCTCTCTGCTCTCTACAATTCGCCGACCTGTGCGGGAAGGGCACTTGGAAGTCATGAACAGGTTTTCGGTGAACGTATTGATCCGTTCCACTCCTCTATACACCCACCCCTGTGCCGAATCGCCCCCATTTTTTTGCGGGGGATGTTCCCCCTTCCCTCTCCCGCATCGCAACGATTTGTGGATGCAAATTGGACACCCCCACTGGTCAGCTAGCCCGATCCATCAATGCTTTTTTGGCGAGTCACCGAGTGATTCGTGTTTTGGGGTGATTTGTGACTGTTTTCTACCGTTTTTTCGCTCTCACTCACTCTCTCTCTCTCTCTCTCTCTCTCTCGCTCTCGCACTATATCTCTCTCGCACTCTCTTCCAAAATACTTTTTGCTAGCCCACCCGTCAACCTCGATCCTAAATGATGACTACCCAAGGTTTGCCTGCTCTATTTCGCATCATTAGAAACTGACTTCCGGTCTATTGCGGACTATTTTTCACCCTTCACTGGCCCTTTAAGAATGTTTCTCTCTCTCTCTCTCTTTCTTCTCTCTCTCTCTCACTCTCTCGATTTACCCTCCATTTTCCAGGTCTCCGACCTCCTTGGGTGCCCCATTACGTGGGCCCAAACCGCCTAGAAGACGATCTAGAAACTGAAGAAGATCGAAAAAACAAATACACAACATACCAATGCTCAGCTCGACAAATACGGTATCAACCAGCCTCGGCATGACGCCGCCCGGTAAGGATCTAACCAAGCGCTTAGCCAACGACTTCGAGCCGTTCGGGCTGAGATTTGGTAAGAATCTGTAGCTATCGGCTTCAAATTCGCGCCCAGATGCTAACTGCTTGTTTCATGTTTTTACCAAATTGAAAGCTAAACGTCTTGGATTATTTCAAAGAGATCGAACCTGCTGGGGAAGTTCAAGGCGTTTAACCCCATTTTCAGGCACCATGGCGCCAGTGGAGACAAAATCAGCACCGGCTTCTCCTCAGCATCACCACCAGCACCATCATCATCTACAGCAACCGATGATGCCCATCCCCGTCGGCAAGAAGGAGGGTCTCGGCTACGCTTCCGGGCTGCTGAATCCTATCTCATCATGCTTCAGCTTCATCTTGCCCGGAATATTTAGGAGGCCGCAGACCGATTCTATGTGAGTGGTAGCTTAAACGCCCGAGCCTAAATCTAAGCCTAAACTTAAGCCTAGACATAAGCCTAGGGCTAACTAGTAAGCCTAAGCCTCATCCTCAGCCTAAGGCCAAGCCTAACCTACGCCTAGGTCGAAGCCTAAGCCTAGCCTAAGCCCAACCTAAGCCTAAGCCTAATCCTAATCTGAAGCCTAGAGAACCCCGCAAAGCTTCTTTGAGAATTCCTCAAAATGGTCTGCTAGCTTGCCTAAATCCCCTGTTTCAGCGCCTCCTACACCGGCGACGATTGGGAGATCCCGTTCGAATCTATCACCAACTTGGAGTGGCTGGGCGCCGGATCACAGGTGAGTTCCGGATTTAAAATCGGTATAGCTCGCCGGAGAAGCCTCAGATTTTAATAAATTTTTAGCTCATTTGATAGCTCTTAAAATTCTGAATATAATTGAAATTATTTTTCTTTCTAGGGCGCCGTCTTCACCGGCAAACTGAACGCTCAAGTGGTGGCGGTCAAGAAGGTAAAAGAACTTCGGGATACCGAGACGTCCCACCTCCGCCATCTCGCCCACCGGAACATTGTCAAGTTCATGGGGGTGTGCACACAGGCGCCGTGTTTCTGCTTGGTGATGGAGTTCTGCTCGAACGGGCAGTTGAACGAGCTGCTGAGCGGGGGTCAGCCGATTCCGCATCAAAGATGGGTGGATATGGCACGACAGGTGGGAGGAGTTCTCTTTCCCTCACTTGCTATCCCTGGCTCTCGCGTGCGCTCTCTCTCTATCTCTCTCTTTCTCTCTCGCACTCGCTCTCTTTCTCTCGTTGCCTCTCCGCTTTCACTGGCACTCTCTCACTCTCTCTCTCTCTATCTATCTCGATCCCTGGCTCTCGATCGTGCTCTATATCTCTATGGCTCTCTCGCTCTCTATCTCCCTGTCTCTCTGTCTCTCTGTTTCTACCTCTTTCTCTCTCCCGCTCGCTCTCTACTCTCGCACGCCCTCTCTCTATATCTGAACTCCTTCAACTTAACAGACATCTAAAAGCTCTGTTTTCCAATACCTGAAGCTGTGACCCTCTTGAACATGATGCCATTCAGGTAGCCGCCGGTATGTCCTACCTCCACGCCAACAAAATCGTCCATCGCGATCTAAAATCCCCCCAATATCCTCGTCGCCGGCGACGGTACCATGAAGATCTCCGACTTTGGCACCTCCCAGCATTGGAAAGGAGAACGAGACTCCGCGCTGATGTCCTTCTGCGGTACCGTCTCCTGGATGGCCCCGGAGATGATCAAGAAGGAGCCCTGTTCCGAGAAGGTCGACATCTGGTCGTTCGGTGTCGTCCTGTGGGAGATGGTGACGTGCGAACTGCCGTATCGGGGTATCGACTCGATGGCTGTACTCTTTGGAGTTGGGTCTGGGAAGTTGGCGCTGCCCATGCCGACAATGTTGCCTGATGGGTTGAGGATGTTGATACAGCAGTGCTGGTCGCAGAAGCCGAGGAATCGGCCGTCATTCCAGGTATGTGAGAAAGAGAGAGGGAGGGACAGCGAGAGAGAGAGAGCGAGAGAGCGAGAGAGAGCGAGAGGGGAAGAGAGGGAGGGGGGAGAGACAGCGAGAGAGAGAGCGAGAGAGAGCGAGAGAGCGAGAGAGGGAGAGAGAGCGTTTAGCGCGCTGATCATGATCCCCACGTTTTCAGGGCGTCCTCCAACACCTCGACATCCTCGGCAACGAGCTGGCCGGATGGGGAGAAGCCAAGTGGCAACAGAGATATGAGGGCTGGAAGGCAGAAGCCCGGGCTATCAAATACCCAGAGACACTGCAGGGACATCCTGGAGAACTCCGGGCCCACGACGAACAGGAGCAGATCAGGAAGCGCAAGGAGGAACTGAAACACGCACAGGATATCCGTGTAATGTATGAGACAAAATTTCGAAGGTGCAACCGGATGTACCAGAAGCTGACCACGCTGCTCGAGGAGCTGGACGTCAGGGAGAAGGTTGGAGTACTTACAAGCATCGTAGAAAACGCGTCTTCAAGCCGTTCGGGGTCAAATTTTGAGCAAAGATGCGGAAAGCTATCAGAGATATACAAAATAATTTTAAAATAGGTAGCTACTATAACTCTCGAATTAGAAGCAAACCATCAAAAACGGTTGCAAATTTTTTTTGGTATTTTGATCATAACTTAAAAATTACCCGAGTTATAAGGCCTAAAATTTGCATATAAATTCTTATTGCTTTTCCCCATGCTCCAGCAAAATTTCGGCCCGAACGGCTTAAAGTTGCTGAATTCCTAGTAGATTTAAACCTTACGTCAAGATCAAGACGGTCAATGAATCCCTTGCAGATTTAGCTTTTGGTGTGACCTTAATATTTTTTGCTAATCTTAGTCCAACCGGCTTAAATTGGGTTAGTCGAATTGGATTCAACCTCAAGTTCAAGGTGTTCACCCAGTTTTAGCTATAATTCTGTAGCTTTTAAATACCATTTTTTTCAGGAACTCCTCGGCCGAGAGCGAGATCTCGCCATCCGGGAGGGACGGCACTATAGAGGTGGCTCATTTTCGGGCCCGCTGAACCACCGTGGGGCCGTCGTCGTGCGCGCAGGGCCGAGAAGTCATCGTGGGGAGGCGACCGCAGAGTAGGTTTACGGTAGAAAACAAAAATTAAGTGTTTTTTAGCGTCTTCTCCACGCACGTTGCCCATCCCTCACTTTACGGTGCTGACGATGGGATGTCGTCGAGCAGTGGGGAGGAGCAGGTTGAGGATGAGGTCGATGGATCTCCAGATATGAGGAGAGGGTCACCTTATCGATGCAGTCAAGCTAGCAGGTAAGGAGAGAGAGAGAGAGAGAGCGAGAGCAAGAGAGAGGGAGAGAGAGACCAAAAATTTACAAACTCCTTCCAGTTGGTCCGGCCACCCCTCATTCTCACGCCAATCCTCCCTCCGATCGTCCCAAGGTCTCCGCCCAACTCGCCCATCCCCGCTACGCCCGCACAACGCTTCAATGTCACGTAAGTCCTGCCTTCAAACTGCTAGTGACCAACATCTTCAGCAAGTATCTCACGTATATCATCACCTTCCTTTT